ATCGCCATGTTTTGAATAGTAAAATATTTATGAAATTCCATACGTCTGCAACATTATGGGAGTATGCAGTGATAATAGAGGATATTCAACTTGCATAATGTTATACAACTAAGCTACAGACAAACAAGTACTTCATAACAGACTCATGTTTTATTACATCGGATGATAATTCTGGCACATGCTTGCGATGATTGATGTTCTAACTAAGTGATCAGTAATTTAAACAGAATGCGTACTGTTCAATGATCGACTTAATAAAGTTATGGATAGAAATAATACTGTAATCCAAAATGAGCGAATGGTCTGCTGGTCGTAAGGATAACATTCATGCGTTATACAATCCTAATGGGTCTGTAAGCAGATACAATTTAATGGTATCGTCAAATAGGTGTAAAGCTAACAGATATGTCTCTAGTTAATAGTCTCTTTGCGTAATAACACAAAGTTTCATTGTCGATGCCATTCAAGACTTTCATTTGCATTTCGCAACCTTCATCATCACATTCGTACTATAATAATTATCGAAATGTAGCTGTACGACATTTACGCTGCTTAAAATACATTTCTTGTATATACTCTTATATTGTATATATATATGAATCTAAAATGCCATCCGATTAAACGTTCTTAAAAGTTGAGCAATAATTGAACTTCTTAATCATGGTCTTCCTATTTAATAGAACTTTACTCACCAAGAGTGAAAATTTAGCTTTATCTCGCTAAAGCAATCATTGAATTACTTAGATGGCTATAAAACAGGACCGAATTGAACTAGAATAAGAATACAACTTTCCTTCATCGAATTGCAAACACTACAACTAACCATTTTGTATAACTTTGGTATCAATAAAAGAAAGAGAGCTGTCTAACTAGTTTGAGAGCGATGAGTTGTTTATTGTATTTTAGCACTGCACATGCTGCTTGTATCACGTCTATCATAGTCAGCTTTGCAAAGTGTAATCATCACTCATATTAATGCCGCATTCTTGCAAATGGCTAGATGGACATAAAAATTTCATTCGTTAGGTTTAACAAAGTGTTACACAACATCATTAGTAAAATCATGAAAGCATCCTTTGAATTATCTAAGCTATGAAAATAAACTAGCTAACGGGACTTAACTCTGAAAACTACAATTTACGGAAGCATAATAAAAACTTGGCAAAATGTGTTTTGCAATTGTATTGAGATAGTAACTCAGTAAACTCATTCATGATCGATGATAGTAGTAAAATAAATAGTGATAGAGTATCACACGCTAATGGCTTTAAACTCGAATACCGGTGATATTCTAAATTCTGATTGCAGTAAAACATTATTTATATTATTTTACGTGGATCGAGTCTAATCAAAGTAGGTATGTTTCTCTATGTTATAGCTAATAGTAAATTAGTCACTTAGCTAATGTTTCTGTTGTGAATCGATCCTATTTTATTGAAAGGGAAAGACTGAACTACAGATGATTTCTTTAATCTAGAATAAACACTTTTGGATTTATTCATTATAATCGATGCCGTTAAATGATGATTCATTAAGCTGTATGAAAGGAGAATTGATAAATTGTATGACGAGATAGTTGCGATGACGCATTGCAATATTGGTAATTTTATATTTTAATTTGGAAAAGGCGAATGTATCGCATGGACTAACAGTACCTTAAGTATTGAATGGCAGAATTGAGGTCATTCTATTAAATTGCTTTACAGTAAGCAGATAAAAATAACTATTTATTCAAGATAGAAAATGAGGAAGAGATTGCGGCGTGTATTCAACTGAGTCGTTATTAACAATTATTATTGAAGTTGGTAACAGAGAGAAAGTATGTCCTGGGATCGGCATTTGAATAGATTATATATGTATATATTCATTAATTTCTCAATAAGTTTCATGTCAGAAGGATTATAACGAAAACAAAATAATTCAATGTTAAGCATCCAATTTTAACATGGAACAATACAATGATATACAATTAAGCAGACATTTGGGTTTTTTTTTATTGTATACGTATACGCGTCCATAGCCGAGGCTAGCAATAGAAAATATACAACTGTAGAAAATTACATGGATGGTCAAGAAATTATCCTTTTAAATATAGATTAATTAGTTCATTTTGCCAATGTAATTTTAGCCATGGCTATTATTTCGATAGTGGATATTACCGAATGCCTCCGGACTGAACTAATTGGCAGCGCTTCAAGCTTAGCTAAGACGTAATGATTTAGAGGATATGTTTATCCGATCAATTATCTAGATATCATTATTCCCTAGCCGATAGAATAGCCTTAAAATATTTGTTTACTATCCCTTCGATATTGGATGTATCGTCAACTTAATATGGGCTATAATATTGATGGGGATCGGCAGATGAAAGAAGCATTTTAATTAGTATATTGTATCGTAGAATAAGTGCAACAATAGTATGAAAAAGGCCGTCAAGACAATAGGTAACATGAGGTGAGTGCTAGTCCATACGGTATTATTTCAATATTATTATTTGTCCAGTAGATACACAAATCGATTGGCTTTTATGTAGGAACAAGGGGGTTGGATACAATCATGGCGGCAACAATGTTGACCGATCTTATAGAGAGTAATCGCTCCAGTTGTGGAATGGATGTCGATAGAATGTGCATCTATAAGCTTTGGTGTACATAGTGTGCTATGCATGTGTGTAACATCACTCAATAGTAGTAGAGTAGAGTAATGTTCAGGATGGTGGGTACAACAAATACGAAGGTGGAACTGCCCCCTTATTTTGATCATTCGAGTGTAGCCAGTATTTTCAATACCTTATTGACTTTATTCACCATTTACTTTATTTATTCACGTATCATACGCAATCTTCAATTATGATGATACTTTTTTTCTCGTCGACGTTATTGATTTTTCTCTTCGATGAAGACAGCATATTCCATGTTTTTCCATACAACCAATAGTATTATTATCCCCATCCTGATAGTAATCAGTTGTGGGCTTACCCCCAAGTATGAAAAGAATACACTCATCATGTACACCCCATGTCCAACTTGAATATTATCATCTTCACTGCTATCATTCAACATACTTGTATTGTAGAAGCCCTTCTTATGTACTAGACTGTAGTTAGTCTGGCATAGACACCAGAGCGTGATGTTTCAACTACGTCAATATTTCTGACGCCAATTTGGTTCTCCTTAAAAAATGATCTACACTAGACCGTCACCGCATGTTAAATCCCTTAGTCAGGGAAATGATGTTTTTACGTACACGCCTATGGAATGAATCAAGGCATACTATTTCAATAATACTCTAGCAAAATAATTACACTGCATGGAGTGTTCGGAAGAGGAAGCGTTCATTGCCTACTCACATCGCCTGATGTTGTATCATTAAAAGAGATATCATTATCGTTGTAATCTGTTGATGATCGTGATGGAAATGTTGTATTCCATCAGAATAAATATCTATGGATACGATAGTCATCATCTTTTTTTTTCCCCCCACAATATTTGGCCTCTCTCTACCGCTGGCTTATATTCAATACAATAAGGTCAAAGCTTGAGCATATTACAGTAAAGTTTTGATTGACTGAATTTAATTGAACTCTACTAGATAAACAGTATAATTTTCTAGGGTTACCTACCTAGTGAGTAGCCGTAATGATACAAATAAATAAAAGTAATTTTTTTTTTTCTCCCCCCCCCCTTATTCTAACATAATCATGATCATGTCTTTGAGTACATTATTTATTTTACATATTTTAATTTTTTTTTTGATTGATTACTTATTTTATTTTTACATCCCTCCTTGCCTTTAAATAGTTGAACAGTGGCACTACTGTACTACCGACATCAAAATAATGTTGAGATCTGATTTAACTTGATCCACTGTCCTATTGTATGGAGTGTATAATTTTATCGTTTCATTTCCTGTATTGTTATGGTAGTTTGTAAGGCTAGCCAACTCTTCGTACAATTAATTACGCTAGTGTCATGACTGCACGCTTTGGATGGGCTTTATTTTCACCTATTACCATCATTAAGGGTATCGTGCCAATTTACATTCAATCGAGTTACACACCCCGACAGAATACAGCCGGCGATTATATTCCTCTTTTACTTGAAATATTAGCTACAGATAAGCAATGATGCTTGGCCATGTTAACAATTGTTACCAGAAGAAATGACAATATAAATTGGAGTAGTATTGTTTAGATTGATTGGATCAAGCATCAGAAGAAAAGTGACATATTGCATCCTTCAATTTAAAAATTTAATTAACTTGTCTTGGATGCCGCGTTTGATTGACAGCTTGACATGTCTTGTGTATGTCCATGGATAAAAAACATGTTTTTTACAACTTTTCTACCAATCATCATCGACCCCCAAGATGACAAATGTCACTCTCAAATCAACCAATAATCAATTCAATCAATCAGCAAGGCGTAGGCTATTACAATTTATCATAATAATTCCTAGCGCCGTAAACAATCCCAATCTCTATATAAATGCCAAACATCCAATTTCTTCTTCAGTTTATTGCAATCCATTTCATCTGACAACACAAGGTTGGCGTACTTGTACCAAGTGCACTCGTATTTGAGCTTTGTCTGCTGTTTCTACTGCACTCTATTTCCAATTGACAATTCAAACGCCGGTTTTTTCCTCTTCCTTTTTTGCGATCTTGTTTCCAACTTGAACGTTGTTTTCCTCTTAGTCTACTTGCTTAGCTACTGGGAGCAGGAAAATCCTATTCTATCGTGTGAACAACTTTTTCTCAACATTTGGGACGTTGATTCGAGTTAGTTTTCTTTTTTTTCCTATAGTGGATCACTCCATTTTTTTGCCCCCCTCTTCTATTTTGGATCTATCCGTACGATTCGGATCGAAAATCCTTTTCTTCAGCCATCAATTACTTTGGAAGGCTATTTTTCAAGCCAAGAAAAGAATCCTCGTCTATCAAGACTAACCTACATTTTTTCCCTCCTTCTCTCTCTCTTCGGATCGATCGTTTTTTTCATCATGTCTAATACTAAAGTCCACAACGTTAACATCAAGCCTTGCTTGGATATCAATCCTGTCAACAATGAAAATATCAGCAAGAAAGTTAAAAGTGCCGTCTCCTACGTCCTTCAAGATTACGATTGGAGTTCGGTGCCTATGTCGATCAAGTTACATACTAGCCAACGTAGTCGACAACACATTAAACGCCCCATGAATGCTTTTATGGTATGGGCACAAGCCGCTCGTCAAAAAATCTCCGAACAATATCCCAACTTACACAACGCTGAATTAAGTAAAACGTTGGGCAAATTGTGGAAATTGTTAGGCGATGAACAGAAGCAACCCTTTATCGAAGAAGCGGAACGTTTAAGGATCAAGCATAAAATGGATCACCCCGACTACAAATACCAACCACGTCGTAAAAATAAACAAAAAAGAGCTGGTTCTGTTTCCAGTGGTGATGATGAACCACAAGAAATACCAGCCAGTGAAATTTTTAAAGCTTTACGCAATGAAACCACAACTCTCTATCCAACAACCGCCATCAAGCGTTGCGCTAGTACCGATTCTGTCGAACATTCTCCTCCACAACAGCCGGAACAGCCATTACCAAGTCAACAACAGCAACGATCGCTACCTTCATGTCAAGCCAACTCGGTCAATATGTCAAAAAATGAATTTAGCGATTTATTGAATGAATTCACTAGTTGTAATGTCGATCCTGGTGAACTCAACCAATACTTTCCACCTAGTAAACAACAGTCCTATCAAGAGGATTGGGAATATGTTGACAGCAATCATCACACCGCTACTACTACGGCTAGCTTACATAACACATTTGCAAACAAAGCCCAGTTGATTAATGGAGTGCCAATCACGAGCGTTGATGCGTGGCAAGCTAATAATCATCCAATCAATTGTAGTGGATATCATCAACAGCCGTTTCAAAATGGCCGACAACAATCATTGCAACATACTTACATGAATATCCCATCTGCAGTCAAGTGTTCACCTCATGTCAATAACTTGGAAAGCTTTACCAGAAATTCATTGTATGCTAACTTTGGTGAAGCTTACAGCCAGTCAATTTAACTTCAAGGCGATAAATACTAGTTGGTGAAGAAGAAGAATACACTACACAATTTAATTTACAATTCTTTATCATGGCTAACGATTCAACACTGTCATGGTTGCATAGTTCAAAGAAAAGATTGGCACTCTAATGTTCTTTTTCTTCCTGAACCATAGCGATCAAGTTGTTTTCAAATGAAAAGAAGAAAAAAAAATTGCTTTCTCTTATTAAACACGTTGATCGTAAAGAATGACACAGCTAAAAAAAAAAAGAAGCCATGAAAAAATGAGGCAAGGAAGAATAGAAATAAAAAGATTGAAACAACCCAATCTGATCCTCTTCATCCGATGAGGTGAAAGAAAAAAAGAAAATAGACTACTCTATAGGTAGTACAAGCAACGATAGCGAATTGTTATGATACAAACATCCACCTTGCTGTTGTTTTGATTTAACTTATTGCTAATGTTATACTTTGCTTCGGTCTTTTTTTCTTTTTTTCTCTGCCGTTCACTCTCTCGTATCTCTTCTTCACAACTCTTTCTTTTCTTATCGTTCAAATTCGAAATTGGCTACAGCGATTTTAATCTTAGACTATTTTATTTTATTAATGTAATAATAAGTATAACTTACGATAAATACAATCCTCAATTCTACTATTCTCTAGAAAGCGACTGCTTGTAAACATGTATTATTTGAGACAGTACCGATGTAGTGAAGTTCAATATTTCAAATTGATATTCGACTTGATTACTAAGTATTGTTTTGAACTCAATGAAACTGGTTGGCCATCTGTATAGATGGTAAAGGCATTAAAATGACACATTTAAAAATGCATCATTTTAGCCGTACTAAGCTTTGATTTCTAAGCCTAATAGTTTACGTCTAACTTAACTCTACATTCAATCTCATTTGGATGATTGAAAATTGATTTTGTTTCGTATCTTGCTAACATTAAGCAACAAGAAAACCATCTTTGGCTTAGCCGAAGCTAGCTAAGCGATGGTTCCATAATCGTTCCTGTACTTTTTCTGTAATAAGAAGTTAACAAAATGTATTGTATTGACTCTATAAATGATCAATCTACGGTTAGTAGAAGGACATGTTGGCGATGGAGAAAGTTTTTGCATTGAAAAAAATGTTGTATAAACTTTTGGAACTCCATCCATTTTAAAGTATTGATTGGATTATAAATTTGTGATTGCACTGGATAAAATATTCTGTCTGTTTTATTTATAGAGAGAATAGGATAAAGATTTATAATATTGTCACGCTTATGACATACGGAGATATTTTAACTGTAGCTTGATATCAAGTTTTAACTTGTTCATTTTTAGCGTCAAAGTAAAAGTTATAGCCACTAAGGATATGTTTAAAATATTAATTTTATTTCATCATGATGGTAATAGCATATAATATTAATTGGAAGTAATGATGATAGTTGTAATCTAGATGGGCCTTATTTACACTGATAACGTGATTTGTATGACTATAAACAGCCTATAAGATGATATTGAAAAATCGATTCTATAATTTAGAATTTTCAGTTGTAACACTCCATCGCATTTTATCTTTGCAGTTATATTTATAAATATCATTGCAGCAATGTCTAGCATCATCATGGTACTGATGTTCTATTTTCATAACCGGTACCTCATAATGATACAAGTTGTTTTAATTTTATCTCTGTAGAATTCTTTTTGCCATAGAGAACGATCAAGTCGACAAATGAAAAAGTTTAAACTAACTTCTTCTCTATGCCACTTTGATCAATTGTTGTAAATAATTTTAATGGTCACGATATGAAAAACGTAGAGGCCGCACACTGTATTGCAGATATACCAAATAAAAATAACTCTTTAAAAATAAAAATTGTGTAGTTATTGTTGTATTTTCCTGATGATGGGAACTTTGTATCATACAAGAGGGAAATCAAGTTGCTATTAAGTTATTACAGTAATTTATTTTTGATTACTAATATTACCATTTAGCCATCCAATTTTTAATGTACGAGTAAATTACTGTAGAAAACTGAATAGAATCTTTTTTTTTTTAATGAAGCACTCCAGTAAGACAAGATAATGATTAAGATAATTTTATAGAGTGCCGGAAATAATGTTTTCCTTCTTAGGCAGATTGGTACATAATCATACGTAGGGTTCATGTAGTGACTAATCATTTCAATAGAAATAACAATACCAAAGGGCAAGATTTAAAGTATTTTTACTGTAATAATTATTTATAGCTTTCGTGAGATACGTATTACTATTTTCTTGTTCTTAGGCTGGAGGCAAATTAGATACCATCATTTCCTAAAGAATGCAATTTCTACGGGTGATAGAAAAGTACCAAGGGCCGATTCAAAATTAAATGATTGGATCGGCCAATGATGCCGATTAAAGTAGAGCACTCATCCCAGAGAAATTAATTAATTTTTCCACTGGGTCGTAATAGCATTTCGCCATTCTATTTACGCTTACTGTTATTATTATGGAAGCTTTAATGATCGCTGGTACAATCATAAACAGCACAATTTGTATTCTATCTAGTAAACAAATAAGAAATATGCTATTGGAAATAGACTACAAATGATTGGTCCATTGTAAAATAAAATGATGTAAAAAATATTGGCATGTGGGCTATGCACGTATTTAATCGTCGCTATAGATGTATTCAAGCAATGGGAAAGTAATAAATTACAAGCAATATTGACTGTTTTATTAAATATTAAGATGATGTCACGGGATTTTACTTTGGGGTAGTGCATCATCAAGTTATCGCTGTCAATCTGTTGAATATTAAATTGAGGGAGGACTATAGCTTAACAAATAAACATGAATCATGACATACTGGTACATACTACGTGAATCTAATTTATTTAATTAAATGTTCGTATTTCATACTTTTGGCGTGTCAGATTACATAAAATTAAGTGTAATCCCCTATTCTACCATTCTACACTTATCATGATGATTCACATCATGAATACACATCGATCTAGTATCAACATACGGCATCTTGTACGAGCATAATTAGTTTATGGGATGTTGTTATACGTAGAAAAGAATGCTTAGTTTCGCTGGAATTAAATGCTTCTGCCAGTTACCGTTCGTATTTAGTTTCGATTGTGTTATCATTTTATTATTTAATGGATCCACAGTCTCTATCATGAGAGAAGATTTTTTTATTCCTGTTATAACTCTCGATCTTGTTGATAATCGACGAATAGTTATGAACAGTTTATGCGTAATATCAGCTTATTTTTTTCTTGCTTCAAGTAATGGGAAAAAAATTTGATCACCGATGGATAAATTGACGAGTGCTATTTTTGAGATCGTGACAGTTATTAATTTTTTATGTCCTGCAGCTACGATCGCAATCATTATTTCTCGACGATGTTTGCTAACTTTAATCTAAGCCGGTATACCATCAATCAATATCTTGACGATGAATGAAAATGAATAAAGAATTTTTAAACGGCTAAACCATACCGTAAACTATTAAATGTAAATTGCTTTCATGGGAAATGATTGACAGATTGTTTATATCTATATATCTATATTTCATACAGCCTTTGATCTTTTCGATCATTTGCATGTGAATACATTTCGGCATCTGCAACATGCTTTGATGGCTTTCTTTACCACGGAGACAATTGCAATCAATACAATTGGTATAATAATTTGAAAAGATGCCGCAATATTAAACCACTCATAAATGAATAATTAATGGATATACTTTTACTTTTCTATAAATTAATTTAAATATATGAAAATATCATTTCAATCGATGTATGTATTGACTTGGGTATCAGACCATTATATCGGATTATGGCAGAAAATACACCCGCAATGTAGGATATCCAATCAGAGCAATATTTTCGAAATTATTTCATCACATTGACGAAAGAATGCCTAGCAATGCTGTCCATTTCCTTGTATAACTTAGTATTTTAAGTCGAATAGTATCAATTTCTTTTAGTGAAAACTACAACGTCGTTCATGACTTTTTATATGGTAGTGATACTGTCGTAGAGTTCTTGATCATAACCGCAGTAGTCCAGTTAACCCTTTAAGAGTGAATTTCTATAACTTTTAAATTCTTGTATTATAATATCAAACGACAGCTGATATTATTTTCACTGGGTTGCTAAGGACTGCATCGATAGTATAACATAGAATGGACAATATCTTTTTCAACAGAGTGATTAAAATATCATACGATGTTCATCATTACGAAAGACTTTCATGTTTGCTAGGATGATGATAGTCAATGTGATTTATTCGATCCTTCCATGGGACAATATTATCCAATGGGGATTGATCGTGTCAAACTCAATTATACTATCCATATCGATGATATCGTAGAAGAGAATCAGTGAGATTTCTTCTAGTCTTTACGGCTAGTAGATCTACGATACGAATTTTTCTTCATA